TGCAATCCTTCCTACAGGAGCACAAAGTCCCACTACCCCAGCCAGACTCTTGATCACAAAGCTCTGTCAGGTGAACAGCAATTGCCAAGGTGGTTGTGCTCTGAAAAATATCTGGATACTGGTTAGGTAACACTTCCCCCTCCAGAGAAACATGGATATTTGCCAAATGTTTCCTTAAAAAGAAAGTGCTTCTGCTACAAAGTAGCATCGGACTCAAAAATAGGAACACTCTGTAGTAGAGTGGCTGGTTTTCTACTGAAAAACATCCTGTTGTTTCCAATACCACTTCTCACTCTGTGATCAAACTCAACAGCCTCTTAAAACAGCCATTCCTTCCCCATTTCCCTGGGACATTCAGGTATAAATCAACCAGAGGAAGCACACGATGCATCTATGGATGCACTGTAAATGAGAAACCATTAGCATACCTGGCCAACTCCAGAAGAGATTTTCCATAGTAAAAAAAAGCTTCTGCACACTCATCCGCTGTTTCACCATATTTTTTACCCCTACAAAAGTAACAAAGCATTATTCTGGGCTTGATATTGTACTTAAGAACTATTGAACAGGAAGAATCAGTTCCTTAGTTTACCTCCCACTTTCAAGCAAGTACTGAACATTCTTCTCGCTAATCTAGAGCTGGTTTTCATGACCATCCAACAAAAAATTAACTGAGGAGCCCCAGCAATTATCACACTCAAAGATTGACCCATATCATCAGAGAATGGTCAAGCACCATGATACCACTATTTTCAGATTAACAGTCTACACCAGAACCATATACTGCAAAATAAAGCATCAGATGTTTTTGCCTCCCAGAAACACCAACAATGACTTACAGAGCTGTCTGAATTGACACATCAGCTACAGTATTTACAGACACCTAAGTTTATTTTGTTACTTTTAAGTAATTTGTACCCATCCCCAGCACTACTATAAAAGCAGCAACCTACCCAAGGCAGGAAACTAAACCATTTAAGCCCATCCATATGCTCAAGCCAAAACCCAAGACCTACAAAAACACAGAGGGCATCTTATTACTTACAACAAACTAGCAGCTTCCTGGAATGCATTGACAGCAGCTGGAATATTTCCCATTACCAAGTGTTTCTGTCCTAAGCCCAATAGCTTCTTAGATTCTCCATCCACATCCATACTGGAAAAAAACAGAATACCAGATTCCATTAGTTTCCACATAATTACAAGAGTGAGATGACAGAAAAATTTGCCTTCTGCCTCTGAAGCCAAGTCAGTTTTATATATGAGAGCAAGCCACGTGCATGACACTTGGTGCTACCAGCAGTTTTATGTGGACCAGCCTTTGGCTTTGGTGACTAAGGACAGGCAACCAGTTGCTGCAAGAAGCAAGTGACAGAAGGGGAGACGACAGCAAGAACTTAAACACAACGTGCATTAAGAGCCACATGACACAATGCTGAAGTGATTCTGCAAATACTGAGAGGCACAGAGCAAAGCCAGGCTGTGACAATGGCTGCTGAGAAAAAAACAGTGGATTTGAGTCCTAGCTCCAGGACTTTGTTTCGTTCTTAGGGAATAAAGGATTTGTTACGTTGATCCTTGGAGCCGACACAGCCCTGAAGCCAGGGGCTTTGGGAGCAGCTCCAGCCTGCACCTACCTGTCTGTTTTCTCTGCGGAGGTGGATGGGGCAGCCAGTTCCTCTTCCATCCTGCAAGGCAAGGAGGCAACGCGGGCTCGGGACGGGCTCCCACCGAGCGGCCCCGGCCCCTGCTTGGGGACCGGTCGCTGCCGGGGGG